GTGGACTTCTAGGCTCTAAAATTGTACATTGTTTTATTTTGAATGCAGGTGTTTTTTACATAATTCTACGTTTGTAAGTTACACTTTCCGGATAAGGAGATTGCACTACAGTACTTGTATGAGGTGAATTGAAAAATAATATTTCTTTTTTGGGGGGGGTTTACAGTGCAAATACTTGTAATAAAAAATAAAGTGAGCATTATACACTAAGTATTCTGTGTTGTAATTGAAATCAATATATTTGAAAATGTAGACAACACCCAAAAATATTTAGAGAAACGCTATTCTATCATTGTTTAACAGTGCAATTAATCACATGATTAATCAGGATTAATTTTTTTAAATCACTTGAAATCCCTAATTCCAACTGATTTCTTTGATAAAAGTATATGGTAAAAAAGAGAAAGGCAGCGATTTTTCACTAATAGTAGCTGCGACACTTTTGTATTTTTCTGTCGGATTTTGGAAGTGAGTCATTTTTAAGTGAGCCAAGTAGGCAAGACAGATCAGACTCCTGAAAGGGGTGAAGTGGTGGGGAAAGGCTGAGAGCCACTGGCATATAGGACCAATAGAAAGAGCACACTGGAGAACAGACAATCAGGGGGGGACTTCAGCGGTTTTCTGGACTATAACTGGGGGACAAGAACAGCACCTGTGATACTTCAGGCAGTGGCGTAGCCAGGTGGAGGGAACGAGGGGGGGGGGGGGAGAAAAAGTCTTCATTCGCTGTGACACTTTTACTCACCCGGCTGCGCTCCGGGTCTTTGGCGGTGGGCCCTTCTCTCACTCCGGTTGTCTTCGGTGGCACTGAAGGTCCCGCTGCCAAAGTGCCACCGGAAGCCTGGAGTGCCGCTGGGTGAGTAAAATAAAAGTAAAAAACATAGTGGGTGGTGCCTTTTTTTTTTCCGCTCCCCCGGGTGAGTACAAAGGTGCCAAGAAATTGACAAGGCGCCACTTGTGCTCAGTGGGGGAGCAGCCACTCCCCCGCTCCCCTCCTAACTACGCTACTGGTCGGGACAGAAGACGGGGTAAGGGGCCCAAAGCTGGACGTGGAAGCTGATGAAATCATCCCTGTCGTACTGGAATTGCCCCCCCACCCCCCGGGCGTGTCCCAGTCCATGGCCTGCACCCCGTGGAACCCTGGGGGAGGGCAGGAACAGAAATAGGTCAACAGCCAGAAGTGGTCAAAGATCACGAGTCTGCCACTCCCTGCCCCCCCAATCAGCATACAGAGATTACCAAATTTGAGTGCTTTTATTTGTCCTCTGGATTTGCACCTTTCCAGGGACACTGGGAAGAAAGGTCCTGTCACCTAGAGCCTGAGGGTGTGTGGCCACCGCCAGAGTACGTGTCTGACCTGCAGCATCCCTGCAGCATAGCCAGGGCCTGGGCAGGAGGCCTGGGACGTGCGAGGGACAGACTGTGAACTGCCCTGGCATCCCACAGACACTGTTTGTGCTTCCCCGTGCCCACAGAGTGGGGCTAAGTGTTTTCCTTTGGCCTTTCCCATTGTTTCCTGATTGTTTTTAATTACTTGCTGTTTAATAAATTACATTTGTTCTGGGGTATAGACAATGGCCAGGGAAGAGGTCAGGGAAGCGTCCAGAGCGGAGAAAGTACCTGGAGTGGGGACGCTGTAGCCCGGGTCCTGAGTGGTCACAACCAGGTTGGGGGTCGAGTCCCTCAGGAAGCCTGGGCCCAGCCTTGTTGGGGTTATAAGGACTTTTCCACACAGGAGAGTGGAAGGGGAGCCCTCAGGGTGAAGCAGGCTCTGGGTGAAGGAAGAGAGAGCAAGGACTCAGATCCTTCTGCTATTCGATTCCACCTGGGGGGTGTTTAAGTCAGGAAAAAGCAAGAGAGAGTCCTGTGGCACCTTTAAGATTAACAGATGTATTGGAGCATAAGCTTTCGTGGGTGAATGCCCACTTCGTCGGATGCATGTAATAGAAATTTCCAGGGGCAGGTATAAATATGCTGGCAAGAACCAGTCAGGAGATAACAAGGTTAGTTCAATCCGGGAGGGTGAGGTGCTCTGCTAGCAGTTGAGGTGTGAACACCAAGGGAGGAGAAACTGCTTCTATAGTTGGATAGCCATTCACAGTCTTTGTTTAATCCTGATCTGATGGTGTCAAATTTGCAGCCAACTACAGAAGAAGCAGGGCTAGATGCTCATGATGGCCTCTTCTGACCTTAGAGCCTGTGAGTGGAACAGGAGCCGGACACAGAGATGCTGCAGCGCCATTGGTTTATCTCTAGGACCCAGAA